GAAGCAGTTGAATCACTTAAAAAGAAATTCAGTCTGAGATAATGCTATAGCACAGGCTATTATTACTGTAAGAGATAAACTGGCATATTACTACAGTAAAACTGAACAATCTTTTACAGAGTACTATACTGTAGCAGCTCTACTAGATCTCTTCTATTAAGTTAATATCTACACTTCTCAAGATTGAACAGAGGAGAAATGAGACTCATATATTAAATTAACTCAAGACTACTACAATGTCAACTATCAGAGATTTGAACAAGCAGATATTTAAGATGTGAAGACAGTGAAATACAATTCTCTAGTAAGTAACAATCTTTCATAATACTTCATATCTTATAGAACTATAATACTAACTTTGAAATAGAACTTACATACATTGATTACAACTGAAAATCAGGCAAAACTACATGCTTATAAAACTGAATTTGACTACTATCTTCAAGATAATTCAACAAATTTACACATTAAATCAATTCTAGAGTTATAAAAAATTGTTAAGAGTATATATTCAACTGTTGCACTGATGATGTATGATATTCTGATAATTTCATTGACAGAGATGAGAATGAAGTGAAAGTTCAACTTAAGTTGAGATATTTATCACTATTGCTGAGAACAATTATAAGAAGAAATAATTAAGAAACTCATGATTGTAAAATATGAAATTATCAGACAGTTTAATATCTCTGATCACAGTATATCAGAGAAGTGTAGTTTTCATAAGAAAGTGAAGAATAAACTTATACAAGAATGTATTTAGTTGTTTCATGAGTATTATCAATAATTATTATCAAATTCTAATTATATAAGTAATCACTGAATGAACTGAATGAGACTGATTTTAATCTTCAGTCTCAGTCTCATTCTGATTTTGAAAGAATAATCATCTTTCACAGTTTATTCTGAGAAATTACTCTCATTTCACTGTTCTTGAATTAAATCTAGTCATTTTTCACATCATTTCTCTCAGAAATGATTCATTTTCAGATTTTTTTGAGGCTTGGTTCTGGTGGGACTCACGCCAAGAAATGTATGAGACTAGATCAAATGAGATTAAATGTGAAATTCATGATCTCACTGATCAGTCTATATATAAGCTTATTGAATTTCACAGATATTCAATCTATCACTTATGAAGTTCTATAATAGATAAAATTATTGACATAAGTAATGTGATTTTTTCTGTAAAAGTGTAAGAAATGCTGAAGATTACTATAACTACTACAACTGCAGCAACTGACACTGTTTCTATCATCTATTTAATGAAGAATTCTGATATTTCTGAATTAATGAATATAGATTGAATGCAGCTGATAAAGACATTTACAGCTTACACTCTCATTCTTATTACTGATTTTCTTCTGAAATTACACAAGAATACTATGAGTAGATCAGAGACAGTAGAAGATTATTGAAAGAAATTAATACAATATAAAATATCTGATCTTGAGAGATACAAGATCTGAATACTTATTTCATATTCTAATATCTTATATAATGAATTAGTGATATCTGATCACTGAGTATTTATTGAAAAGAATCACTCTGATGATCTCAATACTGATAAGAATAATATATTATAAAAATCTCAATGAGTTATATATAATAACTGATTGAAGAAAGACACTTATCAGAAGACTTATACTTCTGTGATTACAGATATAATAAATTGAATGATATTTATAATCACTACAAAATGTGATTAAATTCTATAGTAAGTGAATATAGTAATGATATATTTATATAATAAATTAGAGAAAACAGTTTATATAAGATAACTCACAGACTTTGAATAAGAAACTCAGTATACACTTATCTATGCAGTTGAAGAATCTCTATATAAATTGAATTCAGTTATTAAAATATAATATAACTACTTGATAACTATACTGTGAGAAAATGACTTCAGTCTGAGTTCTTATAATTCTGCTCTTTGAAAACATTCAGTCTGAAAACACCTGTATATAACTATATATATTGATAATCTTCATATCTTTGCAGATGCTCTGAAGAATACTGATTGACTTATTAATATTTTACAGTAAAAACTAGAGATTAAAGACTTAAAGAAATTCATAAAATATCTAGAAATGAAAGTGAAATATATGAAGAATGAAGTTAAATTAATACTTTAACATTATATCAATGAATTGATAGAAGATTTTTATCTAGATAATATAACTGCTATTTATATATTTATAAATGAGAATCTATATCTAGATAACTTCTCTATCTCTGAAAAAGAAAGCAGTTTTATAAAGTAATAATTTCAGTATAATATCAGATATCTGTAATATTTAGCTGTCAAGCTGTAGCTGAATATCATCTGTACAGTATCTTCACTGATATAGAAGAATACTGCTCTCATCTCTAAAATATAAAAGACTCTATTACACATCATTCAATATTTGAAAGAAATACATAAGATTGACATATTCTATACAAAGAATGATAATAAGAGATCTAAGAATGAATTTTCAAATATAATATATATACTGATCAGATATACAGATTCTGATTAAGCTAATCTATTAAATAATAATTATAAATCTACATTCAGTTATATCTTTAAATTGAGAAATACACTGATTTCATAATAATCAAGTAAGCAATCCTGTGTATTCTTAAGCTCTAATAAGACTGAATACATGATATTGAGTGAAGCTGTATACAAAGCAACATAGTTGAGAAGTATGATAATAAATCTAAACTTCATTGAAACAGAAGACTCTCTGCTAATTAAGACAGATAATAAGAGAGTGATTAATCTTATCACAGTGACTGCAATCACTGTAAGAAGTAAGTATATTAACACTTAATTTCATTACATCTGCAGTCAGTTCAATAATGACATAATCTCAATTAATTACATCTCAACTGAAGAAATGATAGCAGATGAATTGACTAAACTCTTAAACATAATTGCATTTCATCAATTCCTTGATTTACTAGGTTTTACAGGTGAAGAGAAACAGAATACACAAACTCAATGCAGGTAGCATGATTTGAATGGATTTGAGGATGACATAGCTAGATTTGCAAGAGATGATTGATTCTTTATTATGATGTTTGTGATCTCACATGGCGATGCGAGGGGGGGTGTAGCATCCGCCCTAGTGGCGTTGCCGTAGCGACCGCTCCGCCTACACGTGATCTCATATGTAATATATATATAGCTAGCTCTTCCTACACGAATACAACGGATTAACCATCCCACAATTTCCAAGAAAGCTTATTAATGTTTCGTAAGGATCCACTAGCCAATCAAATATCACCGTGAAGATGTTCCCTCGCGATCTGATAATTTAGACTCGATCGATGTATATAAAACATTCGTCTTCCGCCGTTTTCTATTCCAACTTTCTTTTTTCATTACCATTTACCTTGACTGTCCCGTATATATTTATTCTGGATCTACTGTACCTACCATCTATCCTAGGTTCCTAAGATGAAAGCCTACTGGTACGATAACCTACCTGTAAGTTTCCCCGCGTCTGGTGCCCCTCCATCCCCCTCATCACCCCTGTTTAGCTGACCAAAGTTATATCTAACCATGCTAACCTACACTCCTACAGGGCGACCAACGCCTTCCCCATGACTCCGGCCGCCCTGTTGATGCGTCCTACCTCGCCAGTATCGGCGTCCTTTACCGCCATTGTCCAACCATATCTGCTGTAGACGCCCTAGCTGAGGAACGTGGTTACAAGAACCGTGATGAGATCACTGTGTCGCCCGAGAAAATGGGCGACCTATACGAGGATAAAGTGAAGATGTTCTTCCACGAGCATTTGCACGAGGACGAGGAGATTCGGTACATACTTGACGGCGAGGGGTTTTTCGATGTCCGCAGTCAGGATGATGAGTGGGTGCGCATTCGGCTAGGGAAGGAGGATTTGATTGTGTTGCCGGCGGGCATCTATCATCGGTTTACGACGGATGAGAATAATGTGAGTACTTTGAATTGTTGAGAAATTTGGGAGGCGAAGTGGATGCTGAAAGTAAGGGCGGTGGATTGCGGGATATGGATATATGCTAACCGTACTAATTAATTACCTTGACAAAACAGTACGTGAAGGCCATGCGTCTCTTCCAAGACGAACCGAAATGGACTCCCCTGAATCGCGCGCCGGAACTGGATGCAAACCGGCATCGAAAAGCATACATGGAAACTCTTGCTTCCGCGTTCTCTTAATCCTTCGTTGAAAATGCGACGCCGCCGCTCCCTCATACGCTTGATTCCATTTCTTGTTTAGAAGAAGGGAGAAGATAAATGGTTTTCCTTTCACTGAACCTATGGCCGTGGCTATGACGCTAATGGGACATATTTAACTGATACTGATCTGTACTACGCCGTTCCGGGTACGTTTTCTGCCCACATATGCAGGTATCTTTGCTTGCTTGCGATTGGGGTTCATCCATCTGCATGGCCGGTAGGATGAATGGATGATGTGTATGCTGTCATGATTTATTCTATTTTATTTTAATTTTAATTTTTATATTTTAAGGGTGCATTTGCAATACTGTAATGACGACGTTTTAGTATTGTGATGTTTGATGGAAAATGTGGGTTTTTTGCGCTGAGGAACTCCCTAGCGGACGGCATATATCCCCTTTGGTAATGATTGTATTTTTTCCCCTTGGTTGACCCTGGTTGCTTCCGGGGTAAAAAAAAGGTGACAATGGACCCAAGCGGGTGTTAATTCAGTTATTTAGTTCAGGTATAATTTATTCGGGATAATGAAGGATCGTCCTGATTTGTTTACTGCCGTTCGCATGAATCGCTCTATTTGGAATGACAGAAACATCGCAACAGAAAGACCAATGATTAGATAGCTATACAAGCAAGAAGAAGACACGGAATACACATAGGAAAAGCTGCCAGATACCTGCCTCCATCTTGGATATTATAAAAGGAAAATCGTATGCAATATCCCAACACGTATGCAAATTTAAGTAACCCCCGTTTCCCTTGTGTCTTTCCAAAAACCTTAAAACACCTATGTCACAACTACCGGGTCTGGCATCGAACCTGGTATCGCAAACTGTTCCTCGCCGCCCCTCCCACCGCCTCCTCCACCACCCTGAGCACCACCATACAACGCTGCACCCGCACTCTGTCCCGGCCCAGCGCCAACCCCACCATCCCCATGTGCATTATGCCGATACCGCAGCCCATCATATCCCATCCCCCACCCCGACGTCCCTCTCATGCTTCCACCACCACTTCCACCAACTCCCCCTCCCCCTCCCCCTCCCCCTCCCCCTCCCCGAACCCCCACACCATCCCCACCAGCCGTTCCCGGAATATCAGCTGGCGCTGACCCCCCTGCCCCAGCCTCAGTCTCCTCCTGACTCCCCCTCACCCCCGTCCTCCCCATCCGCGGCCAGATATTGGGCAACCCCACAACTTGCACGCGCGGCTCGACAACCCGCTCTTCAAACCATGCTTGCACGCGCGCTTCGACGAGCTGTGCTACCTTGGGCACGTCTTGTAGGCGGCTGCGGGAGCCGATGAGGGAACGCACGGAAAGGTCTAGGCGGTAGTCTGGTAGGAAGGAGAAGGCGAGGCTTGTTTTGGGGATGCCGTGGGGGAGCTTGGCGTGTGTGTCGTTGTCGTCGGCGGTGGCAGCGGCAGTGGCACCGGCCGTATTTGTATTTGTATATTTGTGTTGGTGAGGTGCCCGTTGCCTAGCGCTCTGTCGCTCAGGACTTTGGTGGTCGACGGCAATGTTTTCTGCGCTGGCTTCCTTTGGCGGGCTTGGGGATGGGGACATTGTTTGGTCTGAGGTGCCTGGGCCGGGGACAAAGGAAATGCATAATGTGCCGGAGAAGCGGACAACGGAGACGGCGAGGGCGACGGGGAGGACGGCGGAGAAGGGCTTTGGGTAGTTTAGAAGGAGGGAGGTTTCGACGGCGAGTGAGAGGTTATCGTCACTCAGATCGACGTCCATGAGTGCTTGGAGGCGGCCGCCATCTGAATTTGGGTCTTCAACGGCGATAACTCGACAGTTGCTGAAGATGGGGAATTCCTCTCCTAATGATATATCTGTCACCTTGATGCTGTCGATAAAGGAAGGCTTCTTTTCCGGGTTGTTTAGCGCTTCGGAGAGAGAAGCGAGGATGGAGGATGTAGGTGAGTCTTTGAGGATATATGCTGTCTGTCGATACTGTGCGATAGTCTGTGCGATCAGAACATTGAACCAATCAAGAGATTCCGGCTGATGGGAAGAGTGATGGGGGCGGGATCTGCTATGCTTGGACGTGGGATTCGTGGGCGTGGCGCTGTAGTACGTCTTTCGAAGGATGGAGCGGGTGTTTGTAGAGGAAGAGGGGACGGGTCGGAGTATATTGGATGTCGAGGGCTTTTCTCTCAGTGTCCGTGGACTAGAATCTGCAGATATTGAATTTAGGGAATATGACCGTCGGTGAGAGCTCGTGCGATTGGATAGGCCGTTTCGAGAAGGATGCGGAGGAGCTTCGCCGAATATGAAGAATTTGATGAAAGCTCCGATCAGCAGGACTACAGAGAGTTGGCCGACAAGAAGGCCTTGAGTAAAAGAGAGTCTATTCAGGAGACATTAGAATGGTTAGAGGACGCTTCAAAGGGGTTGGACAGACTGGGAATACACGTACGAAGGCTGCGTCAGAACGGGCGGCGGCGGTTGAGTTTGATCTGTGGTGGAGAGGGTTAGCTTAGGATAGGATGATTGCGAGTGCCCGGTGGAGACCAACTTGAAGGACCTGCCATTTCTAGAGGGATATTAACAGCGACCACCGATAGCTACACGATTCCATGGCTCAATGGGTAGTGTGAAGCGAGCTAAGGCGTAGTTTGCGTGCTGGTATCTGGTATCAACCTGCTATAAAATAGTCGTGGGGATGGAATGATGTCGGCGAGCGGGAAAGCCGTTATCAGATCGATCTTATCTCAAGTTGAGTTCTGATCTCGATCACATGATATCCGCTCACTACCTCCATACGGGAAGAACGTAGGGTTAATTTACGGTGATTACACCGTACATTGGTATCGATGGAGTTTTATGGTTTAGAATATCATACTATTTACTGGACTTTTCATAAAGGTACTCTTGGCTTCTCATAGTAGTTGCGAATGTCTCACGAAAAGCTCAGTGTCTGTAACTCGAAACATGCATGCATACCTTTGAGTGATCTGCAAACTAGAGATCGCAAACAGAACTAGGAGCCAATGCCATAGGCAGCATGAAATAGTAAAATCGATCATTAAAAGTCTCAAGAGTAGAGGGGTAATTTTTCGTAACTCCAGAGGATAAAGAGGACATCCGTAAATTCCCATTGAAAGACATCATAAGCCCCGTTGTAGCTGGTGGAGATTCAATATTCTACCGCCTCCTAGAGCCCCCAAATCCAGTACTTTCCGACGTAGAAGTAGAGGGTGAGAATGACGGTCGAGAAGAGCTCGACCTTGAGCTTTCCGCTTGGTCCGATCCCCATCCCCACCCTGACCTCGACGATCCCGATCTCGAGCCCGACCTGGCTCCCCTCCCCAGAGCATATGCCGCCGCACTTCCCGCCGCAGCACCCGTCCAAAATCCAGGCTTCCACGACGGCGTTTTCCTAAATCCCGAATAATCATATGGAGGCGGCGGATCATTCCATCCACCCCATCCTCCGCCTCCTCCGCCTCCGCCTCCAGGACCCCACCCACCTCCCCATCCCCATCCTTCGCCCCATGGGCGCCAGCCTCTCCTCTGCCCAGTACCGCCACCCAGACAGCCAAGGGCTGTCAGAATGATAAAAGCCAACACTCCGAAGAAGAACAGGAAAAATATAATTTCTCCGAGGGACTCTAACCATCCACGCGCAGTCCTATACCCACCGCTGAAGGATGACCACGCATCCCCACCAACAAGCTTCCCATACTTCTGCTCCCCCCTCTCCGTCAACAACAGCCGATACTCCACTCCACAACTGCCCTTCAATACCCAGGGATCCTCCTTATCCCTATATCCTTCACAGATCACATCCGTACTCCCCAGCTTAAATTCCGGCGGCAACTGCGCCGTGCATGTCCACTGCACGTCGTTCTCGTCATAGTCATGGCCTTGGTTTATGCAGCGCATGACATCCGGGGTATAGAGGGCGCATATCTTCTTAGAGGGCCCGATGCAGGTTAATTGTTGGACGGCGGGGACGCGGCGGTGGGTTGTTTTGCGGTTTGCGTAGAAGGTTAGAGATTGGATAGAGCTGAGGAGGACGGCATTTTTGGAGCCGGGAGATTTTGAGGGATTATAAGCATTGGTTTGGGTGGGGAGAAGGGGGAGGAGGAGGGGGAGGAGGAGGGGGAGGAGCGTTGTGTAGATGGGAATCATTTTTGGAGGGTTGGCATGGTTGAGACTTGTTTTAATAGATGTTGTGATATGTACGGAGTATACGTGGATGTGATGCTATATTAATGGCTGCGATGGGTAAATAGAGGTTAGTGTATTCCTTCACTGAGATGTTGCTCAATAAATACTGCTCGTAGCGACATAATTATTATTAATAAGTTAGGCAGACATAGAACTAATTTTTTCGAGGCATAGTTGTCAACTTCTGGCAAAATCTTGGTTGAACCCACCCAGTCGTTTGGCGCTTAACACACCCAATAGGAGCATTGCGCGGTTCTAGGTAGCCGCCAATCTTCATCGGTAGCCTTCCTCGCCAACGTTGATCTTCAAATATTACGTTGAAGAAGCTTCTGTGTTTATATGAATGACTTCCCAAGTTAATTATTACTCCTAACACCAGGATACTTGTCATAAACGCCAAATTCCAAAAATTCCACTCTTCTAGTCTGAGCGGAAGAAAATCATTGTCGATGCATCATGTAACATCCACGGCAACGAAAAATCCAAGCAGTTGCTATTAAGATATTGCGGGTTGGTCTTATTACTCTTGGTGGATAGGGGCTGAGGGAACGCGGAAATAGGTGTGATATAGCTGATAAGTCCTGCAACGTCTTTCTGCCAACTGGGGAAAGGGAATTCAACACCCAATGCCGGATTCATTGCCTATTCTCTTCCAACCCAAATTAAGTTACTGGGTACAATACAAAGTCATCAACGTAACCATAAAATAACCTCGCTCGAGAAAACACCTCATATATTTATAAAGAGTACACAGAGTTAAAACTATGCAGAAACAGCAATATCATCAATCGTCCCCAAAATCTCCTCCGTCCCTCCGCCAAACTTCTGCGCACCGGCCGCCTTCTTCCTTCCCCTTGTGCCCCCACTACCATCCCCACCTTCAATACTCGGCAAGACATTCGAATTCGACGGCCCAGCCGGCGTCACCGTAGACGAGGACGATACCCCACTCGGATTTCGCAAAAGTTCCTCCTTCGCTTCCTTCTCTCTCGCATGCTCCGCTTCCATCCTCTTCCTCTCCTCATCCAGCTCCTTCTCAATAACCCGCGGGTCGTCGTAAACAGTATTTGTCATCTCAGAATACGTCGCGAGATCGACAGCTTCACGGGGTCCCAAAAGGGTTTCTTTAATTCGCTCCGGGCATCGACGTTCTTCGTTTGAAAATTTCAATTTAATCTGCCGCCGCGAGCGGCCGGGGAACATTTTGCTTATCATCATGAAATCGGTGCCGAACATGCGCAGGCCACGGTAGAAAAGATCAGTCATCTCTTCGTCCCAGGACTCAACTTTGGTGCGTTTGCCGAAGGAGGCAGCGTTTATGCGTTTTGTAAGTGGGTTTTCTTCGACTTCTTCCATATCGCCTTCGTTTCTGGCTGCGTTGGCGTGGCGGTCGATTTGGAGGGAAGCTGCGTCGACAACGATCTCTCCGTTTACAATCCTCATCTGTGGACCCCCGAGAGCGGCTGCTTCCGCTCGATCGAGGTCATCACCCACCATGTTTCTTTCGGCTGATCCAGCCTTCGATGTTTTATGTCCATTTCTGATCCGCTCCTCGCGCTCTTTCTGTTTCCTTGCAAGGTCCGTCAGGTCCATACTTTGTAATTCAATCTCCCGTTTTGATTTCTTCCCGGTGCGGAGATCTCTGCACAGATCTGACATTTTCACGACAGTTGGCGCAATCTCTATGGATTCTGCATTTTCCGGTGTTGGCTGGCGTTTCCTTCGAGCGCGGGGTTTCCTTTCTGTAGCGGCAGCGCCGATGCCATCTTCTATCTGTTCGGCTGATTGTCTCCGATCTGTAGAGCATTTGGCAACTTTCTTAGCGGAGCGTTTTGTTGCGGGCACGGCTTCACGTTGAGCCTGCTGCACCTGAGTGCTAGGTCCAGGATGTGAGGGTTCCTCTCGTGAAGTAGATATAGGTATTGTAACCGGTTGCACTATCTTGGTGCGTTTTGCTGGTCGATTGTCGACAGCGTGCTCTACACGCTGCCGCTTGGGACTTTCTGGAACATTTTGAGTTATTTGAGGAATCTGTCGTCGATCAAATTGTGGTTTCGCTGCTGTGGGTAAAGTAGTTTCTGATGAGGGTGCTCTAGGTATGGAGGCTGGGACGGGAGTTGCGGTAGGGTGTGGAGGTTGAGATGGAGGCTCCTGTACGGAGGGGATAGACGGTCTCCGCCTTGGAGCAGGAATTGGGATAGGTGTGGATTTGACTTTGTGTTGAGTGATCAATGGGAGGGGTGGGGACTGGGGTTGTGATGGTGTTGGCGGTTCTTGTTGTTGTGGTGGTGGTGACAGTGGTGGTGGCGGCGATTGAGATGATTCTTTAGAAGGTTGCGGGGTACTTTTGGCGGGGTCATTGGGAGGACTGGGGGCAGCAACTTCAGGCGTGATAGAGAACGGAGGAGGTTGAGGGGCTTTGGAGGTTATCTGTCTGTCTGTACTGGCTCTAGCAGACTGAGAGCCGGCTGAAGTGGCACCTACACGGCGAACGGGAGCCTTGGGCGCAAACTTCTTCCCGGACTTATCTACAGCACGGTTAGTACTGGATCTGCAGGCAAAACGGACATGTGGATCGCACTTACTGATTACAGAGCTTGAAAAGGATACCATGATGCAAGGTTAAATCATTAAGATTCTATATACCATAGTCAGGGAGTGTCGACCGTTGACATTGCATATACAGCCGTCTAGAATCGACGAGTACATGGGATGAAGTTGATAAGAGTTGCCGAACAGGAGACCAGAGATCCCGTGATGAGTCTAACTCAAAGAAGCTAAGTGGTGTAAAATGATCACGTGAGAGGCGCTAAGTTATCGCGCTAACCTGGATTTAGAAATGGCCCAAAATCGACTCTTGTCTTTCTTCTCGTTCTGTTTCTCCCTCATCATCATCTCCTTCAACAACTCTCATTCATGCACCTGTTCTCTCTCCCTCTGCCTCTCTCAGACTCCGCAATATACCTTCTCTCTCCCTATTATATTCCTTGAGTTCAGGTTTCCTGCCCATCGCTGCTACTGTCACGGGTGTTCGTTGTTGTCGTGGCTGTCAAGGCAGTGATCGCAAAATTGCTTGTGCCCCCTTATGCCCTGATGCCGGCCGTCGAAGCGTCAACGGTTCCCTTAGCCGAATCCGGCCTTGTCGTTAAAATGGAAGACCGGAAAAGACCTGCTGCTTACGATCCCAACGAATCTACCCCTCCCTTGAAGAAACAGGCAACCTCGCTGAACGGTGGTGCCAAGCCTCACCCAGACACAGATATGCCTTGGAAAGATGACCTAGAAGTGAGTATCTCACCTTCTCACCATTCTACCTTGCATCTGTAAAAATTTAATAACACTCCATCGCCTGTCTCTGTTTACCAATTGAAGATCAGCATGCTGACGAATTTTGCCGTGAAATCAGCGCTTTCAAAAAGACGCCATTTTGCGCCAGATGCAAGAATACAAACGCGAGAAGAGTTCGCTGGAAGCAAGATTAAAAGAATTAACCAAAGCAACTGAATATCACAACGATCACCTTCGTATAATTGATGCGTGGTTTAAGCAGGTGAAGTTTTTCCCATCAAACGGGCTGTGTCCCGTGACTGCCGGCCAGAAGAGTTCGCTAATATCATCTTCTATCTCCAGCTAATTGATGAGGTCAAAGTCATAGTCGATTCATCGGATAATGAAACCCAGGGTAAGTCTATGCGGGCAATTCAACTCTTGCTTGATGACCAATTTGGATCCGTTAACGCTCATTTCCTCAGATAAACAACCTTTCCCCAGCGCATTACTTTTCGCAGATCATGATAACTTTGAAAAGCACCTACAAGCGCGTTCCGATGATATTAAAGCAACTATTTCAAAGCTGTTCTCTCGTCCCGCAAATGTCTCCGCTGAAGTCACCCACCTTCAAGGTCAACTCGCCAAAAAACTTGCGGAGGAAAAGGTCGCAATTGCAGAGCTAGAAAAGAGCGTTACCGAAAAGCAACAATTGGAAGAGCGACTAGATGCCGCATCATTAAGGTACATGGTGGCTGAAAAGAAAATTGACCGTGCTCGAAGCCTGACTGTAGCGCGCCTGGAAAAGCAATATATTCTTGGAGCGCAAAGACCTGGCGGAGACAATTCGTCGGTCAAACGAGAAGATAGCTCTTCTTCCAACGGAGTTGGAGATTCATCTGATAGAGTTGCCGAACTAGAAGAGGGCCGTAATAGAGCTGTTGCCATATTAGAAAAGCAAAAGGAACAACTAGAAAAACTCGAAGCGGAGAACTCGAAGCTGTTAACACAGGTCACAGAACTCAATATGAAGGTGAGTTTATTCTCATCCATTTTGATCCTATTTTATATAATCTAACACAGCAAACCAGTTTTCAAAGTTATCCGATGAAGACTATGCCCATACCGACCTATTTAAGCAATTGAAGTCACAACACGAGGACGTCATCAAACGAATAAACCATTTAGAGGCGACCAATGTGCAGCTTCGTGAAGAAGCAGAGAAACTACAGGCCGAAAGAAATGCATATCGAATCCAAATCGAGAATGAATCCCAAGTTGCGGTGGGAGAGAAAGAAGCTCAGCTCGCCAAGACAGAGTCAGATCTAGCTCGAATTCGAAATGCTCGTGATGAACTTCTTGCAGATCAGCAAATGAGAAAGGCGGCCCAGGAACAAGAGAGAACCTCAATCTGCCAAACAAGGGAATTGCTCGATGCAAAGGAATCTCGGATCAGCGCTTTGGAATCTGAAATAGAGCGATTACAACTCCAGATCGAGGGAATCAAGGATAAAAGTTCTAGCATCGAAGACTTGCCTTTGGAAGACTTACGGGTCAAGTACCAAACACTGGAAAAACAATACGAAATGTTGAACACAGAGCTGGCCTCGATGCAAACGGCGTTCACAAAGACATCCAAACTAGCTTCTCAAAAGCTCGCAGATCTCAACCTTCTTGAGGAGAAGGTTCAACGCTTGACTGCAGAAAAATCAAAGGCGGACCAAAAGTACTTTGCGGCAATGAAGAGCAAAGAGGCCCGGGATGCCGAACTTCGATCTTTGCGAATCCAAAATATGAAAAGCTCGGATATAGTCTCTCAGCTCAAAGAAGCGGAAACGACGACTCGTTCTTTGGTGTCCAACGTGGAGAAGCAACTCACCGAGACCAAAGAAACGCTTACAAACACCATGTCCCAGTACTATGGTGCACGGCAACAACTCGCGGAAGCAGATATCGTTATCCAAGGATTAAATTCGCAGGTAACGGAACTGAAGAAGCAAATTGTTACCAAGGACTCTTCCCTCTCGTCAGCCACGAGTGCCTGCCGTAAAGCTGAGACAGAAGTCGAGGGACTTAAAGCTACATTGGCGGATACGAAGAAGAGCCTGGAATCATGGAGGAATAAGGGACTGGGCAATTCTTCATCAGAGTATGAAATGTTGAGAGTAAGTTTACACCCCTCCCCAATTCCATACAAGTTATGTCAGGTGTATGAACATCCTCCTAACTTTTGTTAAACAGTCTCTCGCGTTGTGTACTGTCTGCCGAAGAAATTTCAAAAATACCGTTATCAAAACATGCGGACATGTCTTCTGCAAGGAGTGTGTGGAAGAGCGGCTAACGTCTCGATCGAGGAAATGTCCCAATTGCAATAAATCGTTTGGAAGCAATGACTATATGCATATCACCCTTTAAGAGATTTTTTTTTTAATATATGGGTTTTATTTTACTTTTTGCATTTTCTTTGGTGAACCACGCACGCGCCTGCGCATTGCAATGCTGCGATTTTCCACACCAGAACTTTTTCCGTTTCCCCATTCATGTACTATAGCTTCTTCTTCACCTTCATATTCTTCTCTTTTCCTTTCTTTTCATAACACTGGCTGTTTTCTATTTATTTTCTTTTATTTTCTTTTTGCTTCTCCCATCTTATGCCAGTCATGTTTGACCTTGGTGTCTTTGGTTTCAAGGTAATTTCTTTTTTCTTTTATTCATTTCCTTTTGTTTGTTTGTTCTATTAATAACGGAACCAGTCCCTGTGACCTAAATTCTCCCCCATGTGTGTGTGTTGTGCCCTTTTTGGGAGTAAGGATATTAAACATGGATTACCAAGGCAAAGCAGAAAGGCGAAAAAAAAATTCGGCGTGGTAGCCTATCTTCTTCCATTTTGATTACATTGCAGTTGGAACAGGCCAATTTCCTTGTCTTTCCTTTCTTGGTTTTTTCCTTTCCTCTGCCCATTGCTGGCAAATGCTCACCATGCCTTCCTTCTTTTTCTCCTTTTTGAATTCTGAAAATATTTCCCACTCCCTCCCTTTTCTTCTCTTTCTTTCTTTCTTTCCTTTTTTCCCCCGAATTTCCTGTGTTTGTCCCGCATTGAGCAGGTGAGATGTGATATGACGTGTAACAATTTAAACCAGGACCTTATCTATCTTTCGCCCTCTTTTTGCCTCTCCTTCTGCCTATTTTTCGTTCTATTATCAACTAATCTACGGGTGTTGTGCCTGCATATTCGTTGATTACTTCAAGTTTGGGTTTGATACAGCTGGGAAAGGAGTCTACGGGCCTAGGTTGCTGCGGTTCTCATTCTACCTTTTGTTTCCTCCAAGCACTTCTAGCTGGATGAATGGCGCATCTAGATACTGGTTACCGACTACAATGGTTTAATGAACTTTGAAATACTCTTTTTCTTTTTGTTTTCTACAACTAGGCTTCCCATTTTCCAACAAACTCAATTGATTTGTATATAGTTCAGTTGTGTTAGGCTTTAGTTACAAGGTTAGAGTTGATCTTACGTCTTTATTGTCAGGATGAACATCATAACAATGATATTATACATTAGTTCTTAGTTGCAGAACCCCGCTTCTATGGTGGAGCAAATAAACAATGCAAGTTCTAATCATTTTCGCAATATATTACCAGAAAGGGATCCTAGCATATCAACAGGCTGGAAAAATTGCATGGCCCGAATCAATGATAAACACTAACATGTACCACTTCATCTCTCATTCATTCTTTCCACAACCCCCAACCTAGATTAGAAACCGCCTAGTTAGAGTATCCATATGGCAAACCACCGTATCATGAATTAAATATTCGACTGTAAAGCAGTTCATGCCTCCCCACCCACAAATCAACCGTTGGTACAACCTGGCCCGCCTCCTCAGGCCTCACAGTCCAGTGCATCTGTATTCGGCTCTCAATCATCTCCCGCAACCACCGACTGGCCAACACCGCCTGTGCCTGGTAGGGGCCCATCACGGACGAGCGCACGGCAGCGCTCAGCACTGCCTTTGCGTGATTGAGCATGTAGACGTACGCGGTGGAGGTTATGTCGATGCCCATGGCGGCGCAGACGACGGCCCAGAGAGGCGGGAGGTGGCCGTTTAGATGGTCAGTTGGATTGGAGGAGGGGATGGAGAAAGTAGCTTTCAGGGTGTTGGAGAATGCAGATAGGGCGGCTACGGCGGCTTGGGAGGGGGCGAGTGGGTGTGTGGGCGGGCGTGTAATGTTTGTACCGTTGGTGTTCGTGTTTTTGTTTGTGGATTTATTGTCGTGCGTGTGTGTATAAGCATCTTTAAACGCCCTCTCCCAGACCCCTAGCAATGCTAGGCCCTGTGCTACGCTTGCGCGGCGTGTTACGGTGCATGGGGTTGATGCGTCCAGGTCATTGTCTAGTGTTTCTAGTTGCTCGGGGTGTCTGTGAGCAGTCAAAACGTAGGGGAGGGTTGTGCTTGCGAGGGAAGCGAGGGAGAAAGACAGGAAGAGGTGAAAAGACGTTATTGGGTTCGTGTGAGGTTGCGATTGTGATTGAGACTGTGATTTTAGCAGTTTGTTATGTGCAAGGTAGGATTCTAGGCCGCTAGAGTAGGCAAAAGAACCAAGCGGGAGGGCGGAGTCGGATAGGAGCAGAAGGGCGTGGGGGATTGCCAGGGGACCAGGGCCTAAATTGGAGAGAAATACATTAGCTACGAGAGACTTGTTTCTTTTTAATCTAGGTTTTTCTTCTTATATATATAGAGAGTCATTGGAGTGTTTGTTACTTATAGCTACCTGGAGGGGTTAAACTTTTTGCGGGAGATGGAGCTCTATTAGCATAGCGAAGGCGCTGTTTCGCATCTTCCAGTTTGCGTTCGAGGTCATTTATCTCTTCCTGTATGCTTATCACATCGGATTCGCGCTCATTGGGACGTTGCATTGCTCGCTGGCCCCCCTGCGCAATTGTAGAGCATCGACGTAGGTGGAATTAGTTGTTCTTATGGTTAAATATCAAATCAGATCCTTTCAGGCACTTTATACTGCCATCTCACACCGCTATTTAATATTTCCGGGAAATCAACAACAAAAAAGGCTCTCGCGGTATGTATCCGCTCCATTGCGCTAATTTGGTTCGATATCGACATAGCTATTTAACGGCTAAAATGAACTCGTTACAGTAACCACACCTTTATTTCCTTTCAATACATATTGCTATGTCGGGGCGGCGTCTCCTCGACGCTCTCATCATCCTCAATGCCTCCCGAGGTGTCGCCGGTAGGCACGTTTCCCATCAAAGGCGGAAGTTAGATCTGTATCTTCGCACGTCTTCCTTGACCAGGGAGGCCAAATTACAACTTGATGATATTTCCCTTGGGCTCCGGGCGGCCTCAGAACTGGCGCGCAAGTTTGATGACTCCCCACAGCAGCAACCGGCTGAAACTGTTTCCACCGAGCGGAGTGGCGGCCGTGGGACTGAACATGAACAGAGTGACGTGGATGTTTCGACGGAGAAGAGAGCAAAAGATTTTGCCAGAAAAATAGATATAGACCAAGGGGTAGAGAGCACATCGGGGGAACAACTTTCGCGGGAGCAATTGAACCCACAAAACACAACGAAAAAATCTTCAGGGCACATATCAAGCGCTGTGCCAGAAGAGCCACAGCAATCCATTGAGTTGAAACGGTCACCTACGCTTGCCGAATCTACTGAAGATACAGTTCTTCGTGACTCAACGACGGCTACTTCCAGCGATGAGCTCTCTGAGGCTATCATGCAGCAGCTATTCCGAAGCCCAAGGGTGGCAAATAAGCTGACGAATGGCAGCAGATATGGTGTAAAACAACGTAATATAGAGCCTACTAAAATTGATAGATCGTCCGTCATAAATTCTTCACCACTATCCGATAGATTAAATACGCCGACAATTGAAACCGCCGTATCATCTAAATCGTCCGAGCTCTCCACATCCCCAGATGCAGAGAAAGAGGACATGAGGGCATTGGGAGCTGAGCTTGCGCATGATACCGCGACCTCTCAGGTAATTTAGGGCCATGATCTCTTTTACCATTTTCATATACTAACCCGCCGCCGCGGCAGGCGTCACAAGATGTACTTGGTCAATCGCCAACTCCTGCCTATCAGATGGTGGAATCCCGGGTTCCTTCAACCCGTTTAGGCAGACTGTGGGAATATGGAGGACTAGCCACCTCTATGGTCTTCGGTATCGCTGGGCAGAGCATTCGTCGCGCAACCGTTGGCGTTGACTCTAGCAGTGACTCTTTGATATTCAGCCCAGAGAATGTCGAGCGACTCGTGGCCAAACTGTCAAAAATGAGGGGTGCGGCCCTCAAGCTAGGGCAATTGCTGAGTTTTCAAGGTGAGCACTGCGCTTTAACCATGTAAATACAAACCGGATGAGTTCCTAATAGTGCTCCCAGATGCGAAAATGCTTCCGCCGGCTATTCACCAAGTCCTTCAACGGGTCCAAGACAAAGCAAATTATATGCCAGCAAAACAAAGGGACCGTGTTCTTGTAAACAATCTAGGCGAGAACTGGCGGAATTTATTTGAGTCCTTTGACGAGCTCCCCATGGCCGCTGCTTCCATAGGTCAGGTACATAGAGCAGTGCTAAAAGAGACGGGTAAACCAGTTGCCGTCAAAATTCAATATCCGGGGGTTGCAAACTCCATCGACTCTGACCTTAGTAATCTCTCCATTCTGTTAACCGCTTCACGCTTACTGCCCAAAGGGCTATTCCTCGACAAAACCATCGCCAATGCCCGCACTGAGCTAGCTTGGGAGTGCGATTACATACGAGAGGCCGAATGCGGCCAACGGTTCCTCTCGCTCCTCCAGGACGACACAGGAACATTTATGGTCCCGGCAATTATCCACTCTGCCTCCGGCAAGCAAGTCCTCACCATGGAATACCTAGAGGGCATCCCCGTTACCCGCGTCCAAAATTTCACCCAAGCCCAACGCGATTGGATAGGCACGCAAATCTTGCGGCTTTCCCTACGTGAAATCTGCGAATTTCGGTTCATGCAGACGGATCCCAATTGGACTAACTTCCTCTACAACTCGTCGACGAACAAACTCGAGCTTCTCGACTTTGGCGCCTCACGAGACTACCCTGCCTCTTTCATCTCCAGCTACCTCCGTATCCTCCAGGCTGCTTCCCGCAATGACCGTGAAACTTGCCGCGACCTCTCTATCAAACTGGGCTACCTGACTGGCTTCGAATCTCCTGCTATGGTCAACGCGCATATCACATCTATACTCACGCTGTCAGAACCCTTCATGGCCTCATCGCCCGACGTCTATGACTTTAGTGACCAGACCATCACGGACCGAGTGCGGGATATGATTCCGCTGATGCTCCGTGAGCGACTTGCGCCACCCCCAGAGGAAACGTATAGTCTGCATAGGAAGCTTAGTGGGGCTTTCTTACTGTGCGCTAGATTAGGGAGTCGGGTGCGGTGTAAGGAGTTGTTTGAGAATGCGCTAGAGAAGGTGGAATGGGTAGATGAGGATGAGATGTCCGTGGGCGAGGGTGAGGAGCTAGTTGATGGGTTGAGGAAGGTGACCATGGCTGGATGAGGTGTACTACTTTTGGTTTAGATTTGGATATACTGTACGATATTATTAGGAAGTGTCTTAGCCATATGTACCAATAGCAAGTTCCGTTTCCAAGCTTCATTTCCATTTCGATCAAGTGGCATGTTTTGGGCGATGTCTTTATTCTTCAAACCCTAACTAATAACCACAGGTCTCACCATATTCGGCAAGAAGGTGATGAGAAACCCATACCACAGCAGAAAAGCGACTGGGAACATGAGCCCATTCCCTCGCCCAACTCGAAGAAATACCGTCTCATGGCACCTTCGTCGTTTCTTTGACGCTCCATGTTTCCTTCCCAACATCGACCGTTCTGTCAATCAAACGAAGGTTGAGTTTTCGGATGCCTCCTTTCGACACAAACTCATCATATTCGCCCATCAGGGACCTCTATCCCAGGTGCTTATTTAGGCAGCATTGAAGTATAAACTTGCAACCATGCTGTCCGGTCTCACTGCAAACAGTTATCTGCAATACAAAGCAGATACCGATACTGTAACTTCATGGCTAGTAACAACGGCGACGGAACGCGTCTATACCCAAGAAATAAGAGCAGCCAATGTCTAAGGCTCGTGGGACAGAGGAAGAGGTAACACCTGAGGCTGGGGACAGATATGGCTCCTAAATTCCTCCTCGCTTTCTTCCAATCAAAGATTATCCCCTTCTGGCAGACTGTCTCGCGGCTGCTATTGATCCTCTTGTCGTTCCACGGAAATTTTGTGAAAACCCTTGATAGCGTTATTGCCACTCGATGCGAATTTGAAGGGGAATATTTTCTCGTGTCCCCAGCGACGAAGAATCCAACGCATTTGATGACGGGCAAATGTATTTCATTAGGGTGCTAGAACATGTGCGGGAATGTAAGGGGGCATTAGATAAAACTTTCAAATTTGAGTCTGTTTCTCTCATGACCAACACCGCGATTGATATCGCGAGGCAAGCCTGTGAAGATGCTGAACCGCTCATTAAGCACAAGAATTGGATTTGGATCTCAATCAATGAATGCGCGCCTACTCATTTATTATTTTTCTACTCGCAATATAATCCTCCAATCTCAATTCAATTTTACATGGTGACATTCCTCACTCAGATTTCTGCTTAATTGACCATCACACATTAAGCCCGTGGGTGTTCTTCTCCTACTTAACTAATCTAGTTACATAGATAGTATTATTGCCCGGATATAACGAACTTAGGCCATCAACACTGCTTACCTTTGGATTTAAATTCTTTCCCCGCAAGTATGATCCCATAATAAAACGGATATTTTATCTTCAATTTTCCAATTTCCGGTATTTCTTTTACCCAAGGTAAGCTCTGGCACGCGATCCGCAATATTCTTGATGAAGGACCCTCGGATACCTCCTTTTTCCTCGCACTGGCATAAATGGCAAACTTGAACTCCCCACGTTAATAATAAGTTAGCTCTTATTAAATGGACATGGACAGGGGTTCCGGAAGTTAAAGTCAAGCTGTTAGTCTAAAGGTGAGCTGACAGGGTGACAAGAGAGGGCAAGGAGATTTGATGACGATTTTTAAAGTATCCTATATGTCAGCATTGGTAGCGAATGGTATATAAATTCTTATGGAATTACATGCAACAGGAAGCCGTAGGCAAAAATAACAAGCAAATCAACATACGGATTCCAGCAATACTCATTCAGATAGTGGATTATATCCTCTCATCATCATCATCATCATCATCATCATCATCATCATCATCATCATCATCATCATCAACATCATCATCATAATCATAATCACAATCATCATCCTCATCCTCATCCATGTTACCCTCACCATCGTCATCCTCCTCCTCATCCTCCTCCAGAATCATCGTCACAAGCAGGTTCTCTTTATCCCTCTCCCCCTTATAAATCCACTCACTACCACTCCTATTCCCAATTTCCTTTTCATCTTCATCTTCACTTTCCCATTTGCCCAACCCCTTACCCACTCGCTCTGTCTTAAACGCGGGCAATCGCCACAAACCCCGCATTCCCGTCCGTTCCTCATCCCCCTTCTTATTTCTACGTCTGATTTTTTGGCTTGGGCTGGGTAGATAGCGGCTATTACTACTACCATCACCAACTATTTTATTCTTGCTGTCTGGGAATTCGTTGTCCTCGCTTCCAGGGCTGATATTAAGCAATTGATGCATATACCCAGACAAGAAATGCAAAGATATCCCCGCGGACACACCAAGGGCACCAGCGACGCTGAGGAAGATGTATAGCGACTAGGAGATTTTATCCTTGGTTAATTTGGATATTAAAACGTTTAAAAAGTCAAGGGGGGCGCACGGGGTTTTGCCAGATGGATGAGGAGGATTCACCTCGAATTTTAGCAAGAAGCGCAGGGGCAATAAGATACAGATATGGAATATATAGAGTACCACATGTACGCAGGGAGTAGCGAGTGCTTGTAGAACGGTCAGTAGGATGTTGGCGGTGATGGTGACGGGGTAGATGGCATAGAAGGCTGTGGTTGTGAGGACCGTTGCCCAGGACATTTTCTGTCCCCGTTATCTTTCTACTGTTTTCTTGGGAGATTAGTTGTATGCATGTAGTTTAACTACAGGCAAGTATTGCCAATCTGGCTGGCCTGGGATGGGATGTTTATTGCGGGGAGAGATGATCTAGCTCAGAACTAGAAGGAGAAGTTGGACGGGGATGGATGAATTGCTGAATCTACCGCGACACCTCCCGTGTGGTTGCACCGTAAGCGGTTTAATTTGGAATCTAACTTAAAGAGACAGGATGTGTGTGTAAAGTAATAATTAAATTATATTGATATTCGTAGTAGCTATGTATAAGTTGACAACACTATAATAACCAACTTATAGATGACTTGTTTATGACTAATCCAGCAGATGATCCGTGCACCAACCCTAAAACCCCTCCCCGATCTGGAAAATGTCCGAGCTGATAAGAGACGTCTGACTTCATCGCGGCTGGATCTGTACAACAACCTGTATCTACATGCATACATCAACACCGTGGGCAGACAATGCCCGAGACAGTTCGCTATCTGAGCCAACTTTGACCATCTGATTATATGCCAGATTGAAAAGGTGGGATACAACCCGCCCAACAAATGGGGAACACCCCATCCAAACCCCCCCAACCTGGCGGGGATTCCAACGCCAACACCAACTATCCAGCTACGGCGGGCAGCCAGCAAAATACATACAATGACAGGCGCGTAAATCGCCGCACCTCCATTCAGGCCCTCTCAGGCGCAACAGGCACCGGTACTAAATCTTCCGCCGCCGATCCGTCCGCCACTCGAGAAAGCGCGACTGGCCATCCCATCCCTCATCGCCAGCAGGGCCCTGTTCACCACTGGCTGCAGTCCCGTAACCTCAGTGACTCCTCACGATATGACCACCTCCAACAGCAGCAACCGCAACATAGAGATTCCCCAAGATACCAGCGAGAAACCAGCGATAAACGTGAACATCTCCCCACTCGTTACCAGGGGGAACCCTCCCCAGAACCTTCAAAGGCAGTCCGCGTCCCCTTCGCGCCCGACCGGGGTCCGGGTGCTGCCAACAATACAGGCGCCGGTACCAATGTAACCAGGCGCCACAATATTAGTGTGCATCGCGAGCAATACCGCCCCATAGAACCTTCAGGTCCAACGTCAAGTGCCTACTATGGTGCCTCCGCACATCTCTCGCGCCCCCCGCGGCTACCATTGCCCATTGGTGATGCGACGACGGCACCTGGCTCGCCGATAGTGGCGCCATCGTCGATGACTGGGCCGCATGCGATTGTACCTGTGCTGAGTGATAGGGCGGACTTGGAGTTATCGGGAAGTGGGGAGGGCGTGGATCGGGCTGGTCGGGCTGGGTTGGGGGATGAGGACGAGGAAGACGAGATGATTGATGAATTGGAGGTGGATGCGGGGATGGGCGTTGGGATTGGAGGGCTAGGTGTTAATAAGGCGGTGACGACGACGATTGAGTGGCGGGGCAGTGGAGAGAAGGTGTATGTTACGGGGACATTTGTGAATTGGGAGAGGAAGTTTCGATTGCATAAGAGGTTTGTTTTTTTATTTTTATTTTTATTCTTTTATTTTTAATTTTTAACTTTTTTTAATTTTTTTCCATATATATCATTATGATAGCTAACATATCTATACAGCGAAACGGAAGATGGTGTCAAAACAGCCACCCTCCAACTACGTCCTGGAACCCACCACCTAAAATTCATCGTCGACGGGATAATGAGCACATCTGACCAACTCCCCACCGCCGTTGACTTTACTAACCACCTGGTAAACTACATCGAAGTCATCCCAGAACCCGAAGAACTCTCGCGCCCCCGTCGCGAATCCGACCGCGATCGGCCTCCAAAATACTCCATCCCCCCAGGCCTCTATCCACCCCAGGTGCTCCCGGACACCCTCGAAGTCCACCCGGACCACGACTCAGACCGCGACTACACCTCCGACTCGACCGACACTTCCTCCCAACACCAACAACGACAACAGGAACGGCAGCCGCCCGAGGAAGAAATCCCACCCGGCGACTTCCGCACCATTATCCCGCCCTTCCTAACCGACATAGACGGCGAGGAAGAGGACGGGCCCCTCTACCAGCAGGCGGCAAATGTCATTGGTGACTCGCCAGTGCCCCCTATGCTGCCGATACTGCTTTCGCGGTCGATATTGAACATGACGACGCCGATGAAGGATGATAGTAGTGTGCTAAATATGCCGAATCATACGACATTGAATCATTTGGCGACGAGCAGTATTAAGAATGGGGTGTTGGCGACGAGTGTGTCAACGAGGTATAAGGCGAAGGTGAGGTTTTCCTTTCTCTTTTTTCTTTTTTCTTTTCTTTCCTTTTCTTTTCTTTTCTTTTTTTTTGGTTATATGATAATCATGGTTTGTATCTATTTTTGCTAACTAAGATACGTCTCGTCTAGTGCGTTACGACCATTGTGTATAAGCCGACTGGAGATATCACGGGGTGAAAGTAACCAAGGCTTGAAATGGAGATACTTAGGATGATGAATGATTGAATAGAAAAGGAAAGGAAAAATTTTAAAGGAAACATTGAGCCCAGAATTATTTAGTCAGAGAGAGGGGAACAAGAAAAAAAGAAAGGGAAAAAAAAAATACGAAAGGAAAGAGAAGGGCCCGATTGTTCCTTTCCCTAGTTTTCTCTTGAAAAATCTAATAATACATACGCAGCTGTGTAGATATATATACATACACGGAAAAGCTAGCTATCAGATAACGACAGACTAATGTAGAATCTCACGTCAAGCATACTAAATTCAGCAATAATGGAGCATAGAGTACAGACTCCTCGTCGTAGTTAGTACCAAAAGGGGGGGAAGGAGGAGAGAAATCCCCTCATCCCCTCTTCTCCAGATAGCCCGTGTTGGAAGAAGAACGGGTTAGCAGTAGTCAGTAACGTATATTAGCTGTGGCATAGTAAATAGTAGTATACGTAGAATGATGAGGGGGGCCCATGGTCCTTTTTTTTCTCTTCTCTTCTCTTCTTTCTTTTCTTTTCTTTTTTTTTTTTTTTTCCCTTTCTTTTTTTAACCCCAGTAACTACATTTACTGAAATAATCCTCATTTCACAAGCTTACATACCTTGTTAAATAATACCCTCAACAGGCCCGGGCGGGGGTGGTGTGAGATATGAGAAATGAAACATCCTAACCAGCTCCCTCTGCACACACTTCTCTGCACACCCGGGACTCGGGATGAAAGAAGACGACGACGACGAAGATCAAGTCCCTGCATGGGTGCAGAGTCCAGCCTGAGGAAGGGGGAGGAAGGGGAAGATTTCCTCCCGAGTGAGTGTGGATCGATAGTGGATATTATTGGTAGTGAGCACATAGAACAGACGCAGCGGACTCTGACAGAGGCCGCCGACTGGCCGCTATCCAGGCCTATCAATCGCATGGGCTTGGTTGGGCTGGGGGCCATTGTTGGTGCTAGCAATGGCTAGGGCGGTTACAGGGGCTTACTCGAAACGAAAAGAGGTTGAGATGAATGGTAACTTTTATGTAACGAAGGAGGATTTGGGATATTATAAGTTAGTGAGATATTATTGAAGGAGTAATTCAGTCATTGGCAGTTGTAGATATTGGATATAACTAATATTTAATAAATAATAAATAATATCTTGCAGAGGAAACTCGCTCACCAAGATCTTCGAGACGAGACAGCAGCGTGTCGCAGGTCTAATTGGCGGACAGCTGAAACAGCATCGCCCGTGTTCTGTCGCGGGTTGAAACAGCCGGCGATATTTACGACGGCGAAGAGGAGAAGCGGAGAAGGGAGAAGATGGAAGATAGAAACTAGAAAATAGACACAGAGGATGATGGTGATGGTGATGGTGATGGTGATGGACAAAGAGATGTTGTCTGTCTGTCTATCTCAACTTCCACTTCTCTTTCAACCTCATCTTCTCTCCCTCTCTTCTGTCTCTCTCTCTCTCCCCCTGGCTGCTGGAGTAATCAACTAATAGTCAACTATTGTAAGTCAGTCCCTGTCTGTATTTTATACAACTATTGTTTCTTCTTCTTCTTCTTCTTCTTCTTCTTCCTCTCCTCCTCCTAGCCCCCCCTCCACTCCCCAACCCGCCTCCAGCCAACCAGCTCGCTCGTCGCCCACTCGCCAGCGGCAACAGGCATCGACTATCCCAACTGTCTGCTCTGGCCCGTTCTGCTCCAGTATCTGCTGGGTGCTTATTAGCTGCGAGCTTGCTAACTTGTTGGACGGCCTGGGTTTGGCCCCCCTTCTTCTTCGTCTTTTCTCTCTCTCTCTCTCTCTCTCTCTCTCTTTCACACGCTGGCGGCTAACTTGCATCTCAGTCCAGTCCAGTCCAACATCGCTCGCGGCCTCGTCCCTCCTCCTACCTACCTACCTACCTCGTTTCGCTCGTTTACTTACTTGCTTGCTTTGGGAAGACTGCGACGGGAGAGGTAGGCGAGGAGACGACAACAAAGACGAAGACGAAGAGAAAAAAAGAAGCAGCAGCAGAAGAAGAACTTCCCTAACTATCCATTCGTTTTACTTATTTTTAATCCCCGTTTGACCTATCGTCGATCATTCGTTTGGAAGAAATAAATACCCATTGTGGAACGGTTGGCTGGCTAGTTCAAAAACCCTTGAACTGGAAAATAAAAAAAATCAGCTGGGCGGAGATATATCTACCTAGTCTCTTTCATCTGGTTCTTTCAATCTGCTATATCTTTTGTCCTTATCGTCCTTATCGTCTTATTTATATCGCTCCCGACTGTCGGTTCGTGCGAACCAGGGCTACTCTACGGAGTACACTCCCCTACAAGACGAAACACCAATCCTCCCAATCAATCAATCCCTCCCTTCCTCCTCCAACTAACCCCACCCGATAATATCTCGCCGTCGCACCCAGATATGTCCACTGCGGTCGCTCCACCCACCGCTGCTCCCCTCCCCCCAATGGTCGACCACAACCGTGATCATAACCGTGACCGTGACCGCGACCGAGATCGTGATCGTGATCGTCCAAGTGCCTTTGGTGGCCGTGACAACGACTCCTTCTCTTCCAGCTCCCATCCTGTCCTCGCTCCCATGTCTTCCTCCTCCTCTCAACCTGCTACCACCTCCACCCCTTCGCGGCCAACTACGGATCGCGCGTCCGGGAAAATTACTCCCCCTGATGGAAAACGTTCGCCAAATACGTACGCTTTTCTCTCTCACCGCGCTACTTGAATCCATTTTCATTTTCCTTAGTATTGAATATAGTAAACTAACCCGTATAGTTCTCGAAGCGGGGGCGCTGGCTCGTCCAAAATATCAGTTAAAAAGGAACCTCCAACCTCTCCCAGCCTTCACTCCAGCTCCCGTCATCGCCCTCGCAAACTCGACCTCTCTGCCAGCACCCTCTCCGCACAATCTGGCTCGTCCACATCCCGCGGCCCCTTGACCGCAAGAGAAGGTGGCCTGACTGCTATGCATGATGTTGGTTTGGCCTGTCTATCTCCGGGCTTCCAAACCCAAGACCCTGCCATCCGCGAGCAGCTCCAACGCAGCATTTCCGTCAGAGACCAGCAGAGATCCATAATCGAATCCCGGCTGCAGAAAACCGCTAAGGGGGACGGTCCGGATGGCATCAAACCCTCAGAATCAAATCTGTTCGGCTCTCTCAAAACCCCTTCCTCCAAGAAACGACCTCCACCGGGCTTATCAATCGTCCCCCCTTCCGCCTCACAATTCGCGAATGAACGAGTCATCCAGTCCGCCCCGCTACACCAGACCTTCACCGGCCGTCATCACCCCCACCCCATCAGCCGCCATCTCATGAACCACCCTTCGGACCTTCATATGAACTCCCCCATCCACCATGCTACTCCCGCGAACCAGACAAACAACCGCCTCCCGCCGATCGCTGACGTCTTTGGCTCCGATGCTCTCGTCCCCCGCAACCAAGACCGCGATCACCGTGACTGGGACCGCGATGACAGGAATAACAACTCCCACAGCCGCAACAGCAACACCAACAACAATAACAACGGCGGTTTCTACCAATCCACCGCTTCTTCATTTAATAATAACTCCACCAGTAATTCTAATGCCAACAGCAACAATAATAGTAACAATCTAGGACCCCTCCCCTCCCCTTCCCTCGCCTTAAACAACCCAACATCCTCCTCCACATCTTCCACCACCACCACAAAACGCGCGCGCGAATACCGCTCCGCGGAAGAAGCCGTGCACGAACTCGCCGGCGGCCGTGAAGAGCTCCTCCCGCGCATCATCCACTACAACGGCAGCACCAACTCAACCACCACCAATAATACTAACCAACGCCACCACCCCACCTCACCCCCTCCTCCCGGTGCTAGTATAAACGGCACGCAGCACACCTCCAACTCACTCCATTACCACCATCACCACCACCACAATCAGCAACAACAGCCGCAGCAGCAACAACAACCCTACCCACCCTCAACCTCCGGCCGCCGCCGCACGCGCAACGAATACGAGCGCGATAATGGCAGCCCGCCCTTGGGCACCGGGCCCCCGGATGTGAGATTCCGCGGCGCCCCTGCGACCGCCGCATCTACGACATCCCATGGGCCAACTGCAGCGCATGGCGGGAGTCCTGGCGGCGGTCATCACCATCACTCGCATGGCGCTGGTGCTGCTGGTGGTGCAAGCTATTCCACTGGAACGAGCGGTGCATTTGGATTTGGAGGAGGGGCGTTTGGAGCCGTGAGGGATTCGCCAGAGACGCAACGGAGGAAGAAAGAGGAGTTTTTGGGCTTGTGTGCGCGGGCGTGGGATTTGTTCCATTCGTAAGGGGTGTGAGATGTGGGTTGTGACTGGATGGAATGGAGTTTGAGGGCGGAGAAATGTGGAAGGGGGGGGGGGGGGGGGGGGGGGGTGGTTTGTTTGCGGGGTCGTAGGGTTTAGGGGTTTTTTTTTTCTCGTCCATTTCCCTTTATTTCTTCTGATTTCCTTGCCATTTCATTGATTGATTTGATCTATATCACTTTCCGTTACGGTTTCGGTTTCGGTTCTCGGTTTTGGTGTTCGCGCGGTTAACGGTTTCTCTCCCTTTTGCTCCTACTGGAGGGATTGTGGTGGCCGATCCGATCTCTACTACGCTATGCGCGTGCCTGAGAATTGGTACCGGTACAAATGATATGTGGATCGGATTTGATTGCAGGGCTTGCCTGGTCGACGTTCCCATATACATACAAATATTTTTCCCCGGTTTTTTCTTTTGATAAATGCTGTTGATGTTGATGGTCATGTCTTGTCTTGCTCTACCTTTTCTTCTTTCGTTTTCTCTTCCTCTTTTTTTTTTCTTTTCTACTTTTTCGCTCTACCCATTTTGTCTCGTTTTATCTATCTTCGTTTCTCCTGCCCCCTTATTTTTATACATATCCCCAGCTCAAAAAACGCTTCTTACCTTGATTTGCTTCTTATTTCCCGTTAACACTTTTACATTCACATCCATCTTTTTGAACTCAACTTTGTTTTTTTCTTGACATTTCACTTTTTTGCCGTTTCCCCCTCCTTTTTTCTCATTCTTCTAATTTTAAATTTCTTTGCAGCTTTTCCCTCTTTTTTCGCTTCTACAGGCTTTTTTCCATTTATTTTCTCGCCTAGTATTTCACAACGGGTGTCTGGTGCATGCTACTTCTGATTCGGAATTTTTCTTCTCTTTTTCTTTTCATTTCTTCTTGGAAAAGTTTCATTCTCTCTGAGTGATTACTTTTTTCCTCTTTTCTTTTCTTTTCTTTTTTTTTTTTTTAATTATCAAACTTCTATATTTTTTTCTCTTCTATATCTATCTATCTACCTTTCACATTTTCTTTTTCAACATTTGAATATCAGATTCAGTTTTGCCTTCTTTCAGATGAAGTAACACTCTTATTTCCTTTTTCTTTCCATAGTCATCATATTGATCTAGGCAAAACTTAATTATTTCAGTTTTTGAATAGTTGAGTGGTGTTTTTCATTCACACACCATTCTGTTAAAAATTAATATCTAATGAGAAGAATATGCTATATACATGCACAGCACTGTTAATTGAGTAAATCAATTACTACCTAATCAGCTATATATCTACAAGTATTATCAATCATTTCTTCAACTCTAGCCACCTAGCTGAGATGTAGGTATATCTTGGTTGAATGCAATCTAAATAAAATATACTCATTTATAAAACTGATCAGCCTGCATATGTGATGAGAGAAAGAAAGCTATATATATGAACCTCTCCATTGAGCCTGGTTTGAGTGAGCGGCCTGCCTGGCCTCCCGTAGATCTATGATGATCTGTCCTACCCTTCTTTCCTTCACCGCTCGTCCGTCTGCATTGCATCTCGTGCATTGCATGCTGTTTTTGATCTCTCTTTTTTTTTTTTTGTCATATATATGTAGTATGTAATAGAGAGTAGGTGGTATGCTGGAAGAAAGAGATTCATGGGTGTTTTGTTTCGTGTATGTGAATTTAGGCACTGTAGGATATTCTGTCTCGCGGATTCTAAAGCTCTTCATTCCCTTCGAAGGGAGGTATGTATCTATCTATACATGGTGAAAGCACGGAGACGGAGTTCTATGTGTATTATTATGGGTTTATGCGTGAGCAAGAGAGAAAACAAAATAGGAGGATGAGAGGGGAGAAAAAAAAGGATTTCCCGCCCCCCTCAATCGAATCAAATGTACAGTACACTGCCAAATGCTAAATGTCAGCTCTCAAAGTGCGAAAATGCAATGCAACCAACCCCATTAATCCCAAGTTTAAAAAACCAAAACAAAAGAAAGACTCGTAAAATCCATCCCCCTCCGTCCCATCTGCCTAACCCTCACATAACCGACTAGGTTTAAAACCACCCATTTTTCCGAAAACGGCAAAACAGAGTAGGTCTTAATTTCCGTCATTCAATGGACCCTTAACACAACACCACCATCTGCCTCACTGTCAACATCCTCGTATCCACCTCTACTCCCCTCGCCAGTAAAAGTAATAGCACCTGTACCGGTCGTCACATCGTGCCGTGCAGGTGCAGTGTTCTTCTGCCTCTTTATATAGTTCTTTGCGGCCTTTGCTCCCTCATTCCCGCTACGGGACAGCGTGTGCGTTTCGATCGAGAGGCTGGATGAATAGCGGTGCTCGTGCTGCTGCTTGGAGCCCGCCGTCCTTTCCTGGCTGTGTGTCTGGAGGATTTGTACATGTGCCTGCGGTGCCTGCGAATCGCACTCTTCGCGACGGGGTGTCGATATACCCGTTTCAGCAGCATCTGCATCTGCATCTGCTTTTGCAGCGCGCACGCCGTCGCCGCCGCTAGCGCCCGCGCCCGCGCCCTCTCCCTCCCCATTCATCCGTCGAATAGCCTCCTCATCCCTCGCCAACTGCGCATCCCAGAACCCTTCAATATCCGCCTGCGAATGCGACTGTGGCAAATCCGCTTCCACTCCCACCTCCCCTCCCCTTTCCTGCCGCTGCCGTTGCAAACCCCTCCTCAGCTCCTCCCACTCCCGCACCTTGCAGCTAACATCCGCATAGTGCGCTAGCACGCGCAGTTGGCGGAGGACGGTGTCGAGTACCTTCTCCTCATGCTCTGGCGGGTGTGCGCTTGTGAATTCGGGGATTTCGATGATGTTGTATGGCTGCGCGAGGGCTTTGAGGGCGCTGTCGTCGATGAGGAGAGTGTTTGTTTGGTTCCAGGGGGTATTATTGCCAGATGGTGCGGCTGCGGCTGTGGCTTCTCTGGCTCTTTGTTTCTTGTTTTTCTTCTTTCTCTTCGCTTTCTCGACGCTACTGTCGCCGGGAGGAATAGTTATAACGGTAGTGGTAGTAGAATCAGGAGTAGTAGCGGCATTATTATCATCACTTTCAGTGAATCCCGGGTATAATCTCGCAATGCCCTTATCCGCCCATACCTTATCCAGCCTTTTGTAAACCTGCACCTTCTCCGCGTACTGCCTCGCATTCAACCCCAGCGTATCCCGCGCCCAAACTGCGACAAACTGCTCCTTCTCCTCCGCCGTGAATGTCTTCTCCAGTACCTCCCGCACCGTCTGCGGTTGCGAGCTCGTCCACACCATCACGGTGTAGTTCTCAAAGAGTTCCTTGAGGAAGGCGTGTAGGCCTGGACGGGTCCTGAAACGGATTGGCCGCCGGCCTATGCGGTGTATGAGGGTGCCATTTAGATCAAGGATAATGAGGAGGGGTTGGGTGGCTGTGGTTAGGGTTGGCGGGGAAGAGGATTGGGCGAGGTAAGTGGATGTTGGAGGGACGGCGCGCGGGGGAGTAACAGAGCGGCGGCGCGGGGAGGCCTGGGGGCGCGGATCAGGATTGGAGCTTTCAGGTCGGGATGGATGCGTGCCAGGATCACGTTGTCCATTAAAGACGGGGTGGTGGGGAGTGGCCAGTGTAGAGTATGCGTTGATAGCGGTAAATGGGGACGTCATTGGGAAGGCGAGCGGAGGATATTGGAAGAGAGCGTATTGATATTGGTTTTGGTATGGGTTTTGATATTGGTATTGGTTGTGATATTGCGACTGTTGGTATTGCTGGGAGGAATAGTTTGGTAATAGCCATGGTGGTGATGCTGCTGCGCCCGACACGGGTCTAGATATTACAATTAACAAAAGTTTTTGAAAGCGTTCAACAGATAGGGGAAAGGTAAAATATTCACATCGACGCCGTCCGCGCATATACAGATTCAGATGCAGGTACATATCTCCTATCCTGCAAGGAGCCCTGCGTTGTGTAGGTACGGTATGTGGGCGCATCGGGATCTAAGGCTCGCTCCCGTTTCCGTCTTCTACTCCCCTCGTACCCTAATGAAGACGTCCGTTCGTAGGGTTGTGGTCTCTGGTTCCTGTCTTGCTCATGTGCCATCCATCTGTTATTAAAAGGCCTCCATGAATCTGGTCTAGATATCTGTCGGTCATCCTCGCGCTTCGGTGGACGGTTTGGAGTGCTCATATCTGCCGGGGCGCGGGGCTGTTGAGCTGTGGAATGAGGATGTACCGTGATAGCGGCAAACTGCAGCAATTGAGAAAGACTTTAGAGGAAGGGAAATAGAGCGCTAAAGCAGGCTACAGAAGAGAACAGAGAGAAGGGTTGCTTCAATACTCACCATGCTTCGGCTTGGTGTGTCTGTTGTTGTCCGCGATTGCTTGGAAGAACTGAAGAAGTGAGAGCGCAAAGGGTGCAATCGGACCATCATATAAGAAATAGGAGGAGAGGAAAACAGCAAGGAATGAATATGACTATATAATCATTCCATGTATAAAAGGATCAAAGCGCTTTTCTATCGATTTAGTTGTGAGATGTAAATTATATGGCATCTAATAATCTGTACGGAGTACAGGCTAGAAATTTATGTTGAAATTCCAGTACCGGATTCAAATTGTTCCGGTCCACCTCTTTGAATCTTTAGGGGCTTGGGCCCTAAAAGATAGGCACTGAGTAGTGCCCAATCAGCTCCTCACAGGCGTCAGCAGAGCCCGGAATCCACCTCTAAACAGGTTCAGGAGGGCTGATATTCTCTGTATCACTTAAATTACTAGCGTTCCGCACCTCTATTTCAAATCATTTTATTTTAAATAAAACCTTTTAAAACCAGCTGGTGAGTGGCTTAAGTACAGCTGAGCGGACGTGAAGCACTGTTTTCCACTTCCTATGGTCATATGTGTTTATCCCGACTCCTTTTCTGATATACACACAATATCAGGTAACAAAATGCACCTGTCCGGGCTGGTCAACCCACTTTACCACTAATCAGTCAAGTGAGTGGCTTGAACATGCTTAATACTTCAGTGGGTAATGCTCAGAGGGCGGATCAGCCATATCTCAGCCATTGCAACTGTACGTTTTCACAGCGGACTGTGGTAGTACTCCTAGCAGTAGTATTTGCAAGTACCATCAAAATAGAACCCGCCTCGCAGCTACAATGTCCAGATATCCAATTCCCGGATCACAGGGAGATCCATCCATTTCTACCGAGCGCCCACCCGGCATATTCCCAGTCGAGGATACGGGTGATGCGATAATTGTGATCAACCATGATGTTTCGTGGGGCAATGTCAGCGCGTGTGAAGACAGTCCCTGATGATCGAGGGAGCATGTCTGATAACTCATTTTATATCGCACGCCGCCGAAACAGAGATAGCGGCGGCATGTCCCGGTTCTGAGATCATCATCTGTGCATAGAGGGGTTCCTGGGCAGTCCAAATTTTCAATTAGAGGGTCGAGAGATATCATCCCGATCTCACCACAGCAATCATTGATGACGCTGTAGATAACTTCGGGAAGAGGGACGGAGGTGTGCTTCGCTACCAGCTTCATGGCTTCAACCTCGACGCCGCCTTATAGTCGTTCCGCCCTTGAAAACATATAAGCGATCTTGTTCAAGAACCAGTCGACCACCTTGCTTGCTTAGAATGGTAATCACACCCCCCTCTAACGGCGGTTCATTCTTCACATCAATTGGAATTTTGAAGGTCTTTTTATCCAGTTTGAGATAGGTCTCGCCCAAAGGAGATTTCCATATGCCAATGGAACGCGATCCTCGAGATTGGGTGTGCTTCTGATTTGCACGCTGTTAGAGTGACGACTGAAGCGATGGATGTCATCGCTTCAAGTACTCGAACTTGGTTTCCGCATACCTGGAAAGATAGTTATTCTTCGTTGCATTATTTCAAACACTTGACGCTCACCAATGAATTGGTGACAAGCAATCATTTCCAGGGTCAAGCGGTCGGAATATTTGTTTTTTTTTTTCGGACCCCAGCGAACCAACTCAGTAGACTCCAAGCGCAGCTTGAATGTCGGTGGTTAGGTATCTTACTACTAAATTTCTGCAACCAAACACCAAAATGTGGATTATCTCAACGAATTTACGCGCGGTGGCCTGGATGTGTGGAAACGGGCTTGATTGGCTCATGCCTCCCTCGCATGAACTATGCTGGTCTACGGACTCGTAGCATATTCTTCATATCAACAGAGACAGCCACCACTAGGAATGGTCTAACCCGTATGCCAGACCGGCGTATACTCCATTAAAGAGGACAGTAAAATGTATTAAACGGGGATGAATAGTGGTACCGTTTCCAAGTAGCTGTAGAAGGTTTTGAATGTTGTATTTGGAGTATCCTGGGAGACCCCTGAAACTTCACCGAGGAAGGCTGTGGGGATACTTGGTTGATTCCTTCAGGCATAAGTTTGGTACAAAGTTCTAAATCTATAATTAAAACATCAAACGGATCAGAAGGTGAGATATTCTAGAAGAATAATAAATTATGATGACTTTGTATGATAAGTGTTAAAAAGGGGTTTGAATATCACGTGAAAGCGGCCTGACCGCTTTGGTGGAATATCCCGGCAGAATAATTTAACACATCCGACCAACCAAAGAAAAGAAACATGTACTTACAAATCCTGCAAGATCTCAACATGCCGATTTCAAGTAAATTCAATCAGCGGGTAAGAGCTCGGCTAGAAGAGGACGAGTTTGAGCAATTCTCGGGCGAGTCTACCTCAGATGAAGGGTTAGAGGGAGGCGAATCTGTTGAGGACGAAGAAGAGGAGGAAGAAAATAGCGCTGAAGATCATAGCGAGGAGGACGATGACGAAGGAGAAGAAGATGATGACGATGATGGGGATGTAGAGGACTCCTCCTCCGACATAAACCCCTCGCTAAACGCCATCTCCTTCGGCGCCCTCGCAAAGGCCCAAGCATCCCTCGGAAAGCGAAAGCGGCCAACCGCCTCAACAGGGGGCATCTCGCCCAAAAGAGCGAAAGTTCCTGGCCGACACTCGCCTACTCCTTCTGCCTCATCCAGTGGAGAAAAACAAGAACCAGAACCAGAACTATCCGAATACCAAAAACACCTCGCCGCCAACGCCAAAAAACCGCCTCAAAAGCTCACCCACCGAACCTCCAAACACGCTCCCACAATCCAATCCTCCCGCCATGCCGTCTCCCGCAAACGCACCATCCTCGAACCACCCCCAGTTCCCAAAGCCCGTGACCCGCGCTTCGACTCTGTCGTCCTAAGCCACAGCACAAACGGCAATTCGTCCACCGCAAGTAACGCCGCCATCCACGCCCGCAAAAACTACGCCTTCCTTGACAGCTACCGCAAAGACGAGATTGCGCAGCTGCGCAAGCAGGTCTCAACGTTACAAACCAAGAAACATAAGACAAACTATGATGAGCGCGAGCTCGCGCGCCTCAAGCGCCAGATTACCTCTATGAGTGATCGACAGCGCACGTTTGAGCGGAAGGAGATGGAAAGGGAGGTGCTAGTACAGCATCGACGGAAGGAGAGGGAGTTGATACGCGAGGGAAAGAAGAGTAAGCCGTACTTTTTGAAGAGGGGAGAGGTAAAGAAGGAGGCCGTTGCGAAGAGGTTTACGGAGATGAGTGGGAAAGAGAAGCAGAGGGCGTTGGAGAGGAGGCGAAAGAAGGTTGCTGGGAAGGAGAGAAAAGAGATGCCGTGGGGGAGGAGGGTGGTTGAGTAGTTTGTTTTTTATTTCTTTTTGTCTAGCATGTTTTATTTATGTTTATTTTTATTTTTATTTTTTTTTCATTTCATTTTATTGTTGCTGGAGGGGGACATTATGTAGTCGATGATAAACGCTCCATCACATCGCCGGCCAACGTCATATTCAGGATTATATTACGCTACGAATGAATTCATGCTACTTCTATAGTTGGATGAAAGACCTATTATCATCATTTTTTTTTTTTTTTTTTTTTTTTTTTTTTGGATGAAATTTGTACTCCTTTTCTCTTTAACTACACTAAATCGAATCATTGTCACATTACTTCATTGTGCGATATCGTCAACCGCTGCTCCTCATGTTGTTGGAAGGAGAGGAAGAAAATTATAATAGTGCTGTGGAAAGCATCCTGTAAAAACGTGTGCGGGAGGTAAAAGAGATAGGGTTGAGGCAGGGGGAGGGAATCGTGGCAACACGTAATCGACGTGGGAATCAATCCGCTCACTCTTTATTTGCAGACACGGCCATCAGCGGAGGGGTATTCCTTGCCGTTGATGGTGATGGAAACGTCCTGGGCCCACTGGTCCTCAACAAACTTGCGGTCCTCTTCTTTGCTGGAATCCAGCTTGGTGAAAGAGTAGCTTTCCCAGTCGGGAGCGACGTCGAAAGCAGCTGCAGCGTCTTGGCCGCGGATGACAAAGGCGCCTACGATTGCGTTGTCGTAGTTCGTTCCGTAAACGGAGGCAGCGCCGAAAACGAACTTGCGGGAGGCCTCAAGACGGGTAAAGAAGCCACCTATAACGGAAAATGTTAGCGATAATGAAGGGAAACACTAAACGAGCGTATTAACTAACCAACTAAGTTGTTGGACATAAAAGTTAGCTTGAGTTCCTCGGGATACTTGTATTCCATCTTCCACAAGGAATATTCCTCGGGCTTGTAGTGCTCCCAGAACCATGGCATGGCAACGGACCGGGTGTCCTCGTTGGAGTACTTGCGTTTCCAGTCATCAAGGATCATAGATGGCTTGGGTAGGCTCTCAAGAGGGTGCTTGGCGGGCTTTGGGGCTGGTTTGGGCTCTTCTTCAGGCTCCAGTGCCTTGGGCTTTGGGGGGACGTTCTCCAAGCCCTCTTCAATGAAAGTTGGGTTGGGAACGACAGCTTTGTAAACGGCTTGGTTAACGATGGTCTCATACCATCTGGTAACGGCTGGGTTATCCAATCGCCAGGTCTTGCCAAGAACAAATTCGAAGCCACGAGAAGTCATCGAAGCAGCAAAGAGATCAGCAAGAGTAATACGTTCGCCAACCAGATAAGTGTTAACGGTCAGGTGCTTCTCGAGAACGGCAAGGGCACTGAGAGCAGCCTTAGAGCTGGCCTCAACGGAAGCCTTGTCGTATGGGTCGCGTCCAACAAGAGGGCGGAACCAGCCACCAAGAGCTGGAAGGAGCTCACTGTTGGCGAACGACATCCAGCGGAGGATAGAAGCATAGTCCTGCTTTGTCTTGCCTAGAAGGGTGGTCTTCTCATTCTGGGACGCGACTACAATATTTCACAATGTCAGTTTGGATACGAACATCTGAAAATATCTAGGCATCTCAAGGGCAAGTGGGGCAAAATTTGCACTTTATAAAATTGAAAAAAAGAAGAAAAAAAAAAGCAACCGTGATCAGAGTTAAGAGTAGTCAACAGGAAAAAAATTCTGTCAGGGATAACTGAATGATAATATGACTCATCATGAAAGACATATATATATATGTATATAGAGTTGCGAAGAAATCTATACGATAATAACAGGCGAGGAAAAGGAGGAGGGGTACATACGGTAAATGGCAATGGCAATGCACTCAGTCAAGACATAGTCATTGGCGCCCACGAAGGTGGGGATCTTGTTCAGAGGATTGTGCTTCTCGTACTCAGCAGGGCTGATAGATGATTTCTCAACGAGTTTAACTTCAAGGTCATTAGCCTTGGCTGCAACCCGGCACGCAGTGGTGCGTGGGTTGTCCTGGAGGTGAAGAATTGGGTGTTAGTTGTGCCCATCGAGCCCCTCATTGCTGCATCTTGCAAAAGCAAGAGAGCACAACTGGGAAATGTAGAGTAGGAGAGCACACAAGGCACAGAGCTAACTTACAGAGAGACCGTAGAGTGTGCCGAAAGTCATATTGAGAGCCACAGAAGGATTGGAAAGTCCTGTGAAGGGGGAGGAGAGAGAGAGGGAAGAGTTGGTGTTAAGTGGAGGGGAAAAAGATTTTGTTGGAATCGAAAATGGAGAGGTTGAAAGTTTCCTGTTTGGGCCCACCTTCGGATCGGAGAAACAGAGCCGCCGGTGGTAGGCACGTGATATAATTATCCACCTCGAAAAAATCCAAAAGGATGGTATTATGAGAATGGAATGACATCGACGACGAAGTAGGAAGAGTATAAAATCAGACAGCAATTGAATATCGCCTTTCACAGGCAAATCCTTTACACAATGGCATGGCAGGGGCCGAGCTGCATTGCTCGCGCTCTCAGATCTGCGCAGCATAGCTTCCGATCGGAATGTCACCTTTCCCACCAGCCATATCTATCCACAGCAACCACATATCTGCGGCCCCAGAGACGCTCCCTATCAACATCACCCGAGCAACAACTTGATATTACCGCTGCGCCTCCAATTGACGCGACGAAACTGAAATGCACCCCACAACGCATTCTCCCTGCTTCGCCGGCCTACTTTACCGGAACTCCGAAGTTCATCGATCATGTGTTGAAGCTGGAACAAATACACAGTAAATACTTCCTGCTACCTACCGTTCCTCCAGGTGAAGCACCACGGACCGCGTTCCTTAAACACGCGGACTACAAAAATGCCATCAACGAGGAGGTGCCGGCTGCCAAATATCGCCAGCTGCAGAAGGTTCTCGCTAGATTAAACCAGATCCGACCAGACAAGGTACCGCAGGAAGTGAAGGATATGCTCAAGTCTTTCACGCGACCTGGTGACCCCTACCAACAGAAACTTGCGCCCAAGACACTCGACGAGATGGGGAGGGCTAGAGGTGTTGGCCGACGGAAAACATCACATGCGAGGGTTTGGTTAGTTGAGGGCGACGGGGAGGTGCTTATCAATGGCAAAAATATTGTCCAGGTCTTCCCTCGCGTCCATGACCGGGAGAGTGCCCTCTGGCCCCTAAGGGCGACGAATCGATTAGATAAATATAACGTGTTTGCTATTACGCGGGGTGGTGGTGTTACTGGTCAAGCGGAAGCTATTACTGTTGCTCTTGGGAAGGCTCTATTGGTGCATGAGCCTGCCATGAAGCCGATATTAAGGAAAGGTACGTTATTATATCATTTAATATTTTTGCAATGTCCATATGAAATGAAAATTATTCCGCTGCTGACGACTTATGTTTTGGTTTTAGCCGGCTGTATCTCTACGGACCCTAGACAAGTCGAGAGAAAGAAGCATGGTCACTTGAAAGCCAGAAAGATGCCCGCCTGGGTCAGACGGTGAAGGATGCATCATCGTTTGTTGTACATTTTTTCCACTTCTCATTTTTCTGTATTAGCCTCATCCTTTTTTAACGTTGTCTTCCCCCATTATGCACAAACCTGTATATCAGAGATTTTCCCTTGTATTTTTTGTCTTCCCCGCCTACGCGCGGCTCATTGACGGTTTCGGAGAACAACATAGAGCTCAATTGAATTTTTCAGACAGTACCAATTCACTTTGGAATTCAAAATTCTTTTTTTCACTCGATAAATGTGATATATCATATCAGACAGGGCATGATATTACAGGAGAATAATATCAAACGTAGGGGCACGCGCTACCTAGCCATGATACATATTATTCTCACTTTCTCCCCCTACTACTACCCCATACACGCCCTGGCTTCATCCACGTATGGAGGAATGGTACCCAGGCCCGAATGCATGGCTCTGCAGAAACCGAAACTCGCCTCTTCCTACTACAGACCTCCAAAAACCACAAATGGAGACAAACCGGTTCCTTCTAGCTTAAAGTGCCGCAACCACTTGGCAGATTGTGTGAGTGGCATCACCCATTGCCGATTTCTGGTCTTTTGATGTATAATTTTATTCAGCGTGACCTTATTGACTACAGACTACATGCTATGACGCCTTCTGGACATTTGATACCGTTCTTCATCCACATGCACATTTTTATTTCGTCCGGAGCCAACATACACGTCGCCTACTCTACCCTGGATATATAGGACTCGATGGCCCTGTTTCTACCGTATTCCTGCTGCTCTATTTGCGCGTGGTTCAGAGGGTTTTCATTAAGAAACGATGTTATGGAGTCCTACTGGGATTAGGTTGGGATTAAAGTCGGCTCAGATTGGAATGTATCCAGATGACAGATGACAAGGAGAAATGGAGTCTTGTTTTCCAAAACCTTGGCTCATATGTAAGTTCTACTTGAAAACGTTGGGTGTGCACTTTCATTGATATGACCTGCTACCGCCACACTGCGCCCTTTACCCCCTCACCTTTGTTAAGAGTGTCCGTAGACTTTGCCAAACTATCACTTACACGGAACTTGCGGGAGACGTGGCATTGGCTTATTTGCTTCATCCCACTGAGTGCGTTGCTGAGGCTTATGAACAGGACTCCAAACGATAGCGACAATACCATGTCAACACCGTTGACAGAACTCAGTCCAGACTATAAACTACTTTTTGCTCACTACTTTGTCTACTACAGAATGTGGATATATCAGTGGATAATATTGAGATGCTGAAATGCAAGTTGTTTTATTACTGCTTCGTCTTCGAGCTACCAACATCACATCCCTACGCCGAGGTGGATATCCTTGTACCATTCAACGGCAAAATTAAGTATCTCAAACGAGCTTAATACCCTTCCATTTGAAATGCGCCCGCTGAGGGTTGGAATGCGACTGCTGATTCCCAAAAGTCTTCCTGTAGTACAATTTTTCAACCTATTACAATTTGCTCAGGCCGCTCCACGTATTTCTGAAATCTAGTTATGCATTGCATCCGTTTGTAATCGGAGATATAGTTCTGCATAAGGATATCACCATGAGGGGAGGTAGACATGCCTACATTCTGTATGACATGCGAGGGTCGCTTGGTGCACGCTTCTCGGTTGTCATGGACGTTCCAGGCTTCTAAGGAATGTATCGACGAGGATAATACGCAAACATCCCCTTGCGCCCCTGCTGCTTATTTTCCCTTTTATACATCCGCTTGGTGGTTGCGGGCCAGATTCTCTGTCGACAGGTTTGGGGTATTTATATCTTTTTTTCCCCTGCCTTTCTTTCTTTAGAATATACGATCTTAGGAGTTGATAACCTGTAAGATAAGTGCGCAGTCACTCCGTGACACTGGGCAAGTGGAAGGATCAGGTGCTATTTTCTGTAATCAGCACCACGCTATCCGTCACTATAATTTCTACCTCGGAGATGGGTTAATATGAAGCAAAATCCTGTACAATTATATACAATCGAAGCGCACTGTAGTTCAAGATATCAGCGGGAATGAGCATGCATGCTCTGTACATAGTTGAGTAATAGTACCAATTTTAGTATTTCGAATTGAACATTCCTTGCACCTTGGCCAAGCCTGGGGGCCGGAAATAACCGAGTTAAGCTGGCTTTAAATTAAATTCATGCACCCCTATCTTCACATCTGACACATGCACCAGCTTCGAAATTAGGTATCCGAAATTTATCGATTGAAGTGTAGAGCGCTAGGATGATTTAACCTGCGGCTGAAATAGAAAACGTGTACTCCGTATGGCTCCTCCTTTGGTTGACGTGTGCGCCGGCCATCATAGATGTTTCTGACCATCATACCGCTAATGGATGTGGGATTGGTGAATTTTGGGAGGAATCTCGGTGGAATTGGACATCCGGTCTCCAGACAGGTTGTGAAATGTAATATAATAGACCCGAGGCAGCCGAAAGGGGCCCTTCAAAGGAATGAATAAGGCAGAAAAAACCAAAGATGAAACCCTAGAAAGGGGCAGGCGTCGCTGATTTTTATGTAAATCGTATAGTGTTTTCTTTTTGGCATACGGTGTAACTTCCAGGTATTGGTCGGATCATCTAACCGACGAGCACTTATTATTAATATAGTCTGCGGCTGCTTGTAATTTCCTTGTTGTTAGCTATTGTCAATTTTCCATTATTTCCCATTATCATTAAACCGCTGGCGTGGTAAAGGATGAGTGATTTGGAGGGGACGCTGAGAACCAGCATCGAAACTGAAAGGACGCAATCCACTTTTTGATTCGAGAGATTGATAATTTTACAGTTTTCGTATAACCTTTCTCTCTCGTGTCCCCCTGTACATACCGTACCGTACGTTCTTGGAGCGACGTTTTCACTCGATTTAAGCCAGGATTATTCCAAAGTTGTTTTTCTTCACAGCGTTTAGGACTGATCATCCTAAAAGAAGATTTGCATCTCACTACCTAGTTACGGGGCATCGCACAGCATCCTTGACAGAGAGATCCCAGTAACTAGTAGTGGACTGCCTTGTCTGCGCAAAGAGCAGCCACAGGAGAAGTCCCTTGCAGGGTTTATGGACTATTGACCGCTCGCTTGGCAGTGTCAAGCAACTTGACGTCATTTTTAGCTTGGTTTCTGCAGGTGAAGATTAGCCAGACATGAAATTTCTTGACACCATCTTTGGGTGTTCCAGGCGGTGACCCGACAAGCTAGTGAGGAGTGGCTGACGTAGGGCCTGTTGGGGCCAATTGATGGCTCAAGAGCCGCCGCTAAGAAGAGCGAAGCTGCATAAAATTTGCGAGGAGGAGCATTCGTCAAATGAGACCTGATACTGATTGGCCAGACGACCCCTTTTTTCTTTCTGGAAGAATTTTCGAAGAAGCAACCGACGGTTTTAATCTCCGGTCTACCAACGACATGAGCGGTCGACACGACGAGAACCAGTGAGGCAGAGGATATGACGGATGTTGGGGTGGGGTCGTACTTGAGATGGATGGTACCATTGACAAAATAGAGACTATGATGAGCGCTTTCAACCACCGGTTGTCCGGCAGCTGGGCTGGGCCGCTTTCATTGTGCTCAGCAATCCCTTTAGCTAGTGGAAAATCAAGTCGTCAACCCCAGTGTTCTGAGGAGTTCCTGAAAAGGCTATTTAGTGACGAAACGACTACATAGCATAGTAGATTGCGACAACCCAGTTCCATAATATGCAATCTTCACGAGGCGTCCTATCCCCCCTTTTTTTCAGAGCGTGCGGAGATGCGTTCCAGCCAAAAAGCACCCCTGCTATCGGAGTAGACTCTATAAATTAGAATCAGTGGCATGCAGATCACACCAAGGAAGCTGTTTTGTGAGATCCGGA